CCACTTGTTCCATCTTTTGGCCACATTATTCCCCTCTTCTGGTCGTTCTTGTCCACAGCGCTTGGTCCCATTGGTCCCGTCTGTTGGTCACACTTGTCCCCAACTCCTGGTCTCCTTTGTTTCCCTCTCCTGGTCCTCTTGGTCTCCTGGTACCATTTGTCCCCTCTCCTTCTCCTACTCATCCCCATCTCCCTGTCCCACTTGGCCCCCCTCCCTGTCCCACTTGTCCGCTCCCCTGGTCCTGCTTTCGAGGGCAGCAGAGGCAGTTTTGGTGCAGACCCCGTGGGATTCAGTGCAGCTTTTTGGGGCTGGAGCCTTTCCCCATCGGGGGAAGCACAATGCAGCCCCCCCAAGCCTCATCACCAGATGCCCTGGCAAGTGCAGCCAGGAGGATAACGTGATTTTTTGGCCCGGCGATGAGCTAAGACTGGGAAAATTCGTGTCATGCAAAGCAGCTCCATCTCTCAGATGCTGCTGGGCATCTGCATTGCAACAGTACTCGCAGTCCCATGAGGGGCAAAGGGGCTATTGCAAAAAGAAAATGATTAAACCCAACTGCTCTGGTCGCAAAATCAGGCCCTTTGCCCCAAACCAATTCCCTTTCTGGTGCAGCCTCGGGCTTGGCACTGGATCTGGCCCCAAACAGCTCCGTGAGCCAGCAGTGTGCCCTGGATGCCAAGAAGTCCAGTGGTCTCCTGGGGTGCATCACGAGGAGTGTGGCCAGCAGGGCGAGGGAGGTTCTTCTCCCCCTCTACTCTGCCCTGGTGAGGCCCCATCTGCAGTGCTGGGCCCAGTGCTGGGCTCCCCACTTCAAGAAAGATGAGGAGCTACTGGAGAGAGTCCAGCAGAGGGCTACGAGGATGAGGAGGGGACCGGAGCATCTCTCCTACGAGGAGAGGCTGAGGGAGCTGGGCTTGTTCAGCCTGGAGAAGAGAAGGCTGAGAGGGGACCTTCGAAATGCCTCCAAATATCTGCAGGGTGGGTGTCAGGAGGATGGGGCCAGACTCTTTTCAGTGGTGCCCAGGGACAGGACAAGGGGCAACGGGCACAAACTGAGGCACAGGAAGCTCCAGCTGAACACGAGGAAGAACTTCTTCCCTCTGAGGGTGACGGAGCCCTGGAACAGGCTGCCCAGAGG